TCTCTGTGTGTGTGTGTGTGTGTGTGTGTGTGTGTGTGTCTGCAGGACAGAGGTGGGTGTTAGGCATCCTCTATTGTCACTCTTGAGGAAAGGTCGCCCCAATGATTCCACTCCAAACTCATGCAGTGCTAGAATTGGAGGTATGAGCCACCATACCTGGCCTTTTGTCTTGGAAGTATAATATTCCAAGAACTGTGAAAAATAAAACCATACCTAAGACATTTTTCAGTGGCCATCATAATACCATAAACAAAATTTGTAAGCATCAAAGAGAATAGCTATTTTAGAGAGATTACTTTAATTTCACCAAATATAAATGAGTTATCAGCAACAAAAATACTAGGGCAGAGGAATTCAAACTCCAAAGCTTTGAAAGAAAAAGGCCTGTTAGCTTGAGATGTGGAGATTTTTGGATGTCTTTCTTTTCAGCACTAAAGTGTGTGCTAATCTTGTGCATTTTCTCATTGCATATCTGAATACAGCTTTTCTCTCTGGGCAATGTCCTTAGGGGGCAGCTGGTTATCAGTAAGGTGTGTTAATCACGGCTGCTACTGGTGCCATGTCACATAGTTTCTGTTAGTCCTGTTCTGAACTGTTTGCCACAGGAGGGTGTGCACGGATGAGAGTCTAGGTTGGTGAGATATTAGCTTTTGCATGAGGGAAGGCAAAGCTGTGTGCAGTTCATTGCTGACTGCAGGGTCCTTTCACATTGTAGATCATAGCATAGTTCTGTATGTATAGAAAGGATGACAAGTCTCTGCTGAAAAACAAAACTAGCAGTGTATGTCAGCTTGCAATTCTGAATGCAGTAAAACTATGAATTGGCGCTGGAATGAGGCAGCATTTCCACAATGTCTACCCTCGATCTACACAGTGTGGCTCATTGTTTCTAGTTTCTCCACCTAGACCATGTGGTCTCTGCTGTGGATGGACCACAAGAAAACAGGATCAGATGATCAAATGGAAGGCTTTTGTTTCGTTTTGTGTTTTCGCAGAGTTTACATAGATTTTTTTTTTTAAGAGGAGAGAAAGAACTCTGAAGAGTGTGGGGGGATTCAAGGGAGGAATCCCTTGTCTTAGTTACTTTTCAGTTGCTGTGATAAGGCAATTTAGAAGAAAGAGTTTATTGGGGGCTTACAGTTTCAGAGGCAGCGGGCACGGCACTGGAGCAGTAGCTGAGAGCTTACACCTTGATCCACAAGCAGGAGGCAGAGGGGCTAACAGGGAATGGTGAGAGCTGTTGAGACCTCAAAGCCCAACCACAGTGACACACCTCCTCCAACAAGGCCACACCTCCTAACACTTCACAGTTCCACCAGCTGAGAACAAAATATTCAAACACGAACCTATTGGGGTCATTCTCACTCAAACCACATTACATTGTTCATGGAAAGGATTTTAATGGCCAGTGTGGTGGTATTGTGTTCCCCAAAATATTGTGTACCCTAATAAACTTATCTAGGGTCAGAGACAGAACAGCCACTAGATACAAAGGCTAGAAAATGGTGGCACACACACCTTTAATCCTAGCACTCCAGAGGTAGAAATCCCTCTGGATCTCTGTGAGTTCAAGGCCACATAGGATACAGTCAAGCATGGTGACACGCCTTTAATCCCAGAAAGCAAGCCTTTAATCCCAGGGAGTGATGGCAAAAACAGAAAGGTATATAAGGCGTGAAGACCAGAAACTAGAAGCGTTTGGCTGGTTAAGCATTTGGCTGGTTAAGCTTTCAGGCTTCTAGCAGCACAGTTCAGCTGAGAGCCATTCAGATATGAGGACACAGAGGCTTCCAGTCTGAGGAAACAAGACCAGCTGAGAAGTTGGCCAGGTGAGGTAGCTGTGGCTTGTTCTGTCTCTCTGATCTTCCAGCTTCACCCCAGTACTTGGCTCTGGGTTTGTTTTATTAATAAGACTCTCTAAGATTCCTGCTACAGGCCAGACTTGAAAGAGGAATCTTGAACTCACAACCCATTGACCACAATCCAATCTCTTGGTTACACCTGACTAGAAGCCTAGAGAATTGAGAACAATACACAGGCATTGCTAACTCTTGGCCTGATGAGAGTTTAGGAGATGTGTATGGATACTGAACATGGAGAGACATTCAGCTTCTTAGTTATTGAGGGAAACAAAACTGAAGCCATATATGATAGTGATCTTAACTCATTGTTGGCTAAGATGATATTTTTATCATCATATGTTGGGGAGGATTAATGGGAGCTCACACACCAGCAATCAGACTCAATGCACATAACCGATTTGTAAAATATGCTCTTTCCTAAGAGCCAATAGTTGTATATTCAACTCTCTCTGATAGTCACGTAGCAGTTCCCTCCAAGCATGTGCTGCAAAGAAACCATTGCAGACTAGGAGATATCAACAAGAACATACAGAACACATACAACAAGGATCATGAAAAGAGAGAGAAAGAAAAGACACAACCCCGATGCTTTCGGTCAATGGAATGGCATGGAGTGGAGACCTCAGACATAAAGAGCTGTGGTGAAGATGCAATCCAGTAGATGGGAGCTAATTAGAGACAGGGCAGCTTGCCAACAAGTGCCACTGGAGAGTCTAATATACATGAGTGTCAAGCAAAACCTCACATCTTATACAAAAACCGCATCATAAGCAATTTAAGACTATAATAAAACTTAAAAATCTTTAGGCTCAGGCTGGAGAGATGTCTCAGAAGTTAAGAGCACTGGCTGCTCTTCCAGAGGTGCTGAGTTCAATTCCCAGCAACCACATGGTGGCTCACAACCGTCTACAATGAGATCTGGTGCCCTCTTCTGGCGTGCAGGCGTACATGCAGGCAGAACACTGTATACATAATAAATAAAAATCTGTAAGGCTGTACTGGCTAGGCCAAGAGTTTTTAGACTTGACATTAAAAGGATGAGTAATAAATGGAAAAACTGACAAATTTGACTTCACCAAGATTAAAAAGCTTTTTTTCCCCTGAAAAGACAAATACAAATAAGGAGAAAGACAAACCACATTATGTTTAACAAAGGTTTGTAATAAACTATGAGGAACTCTCAAACTCCTCTGTGAGAAAGCCTAAAAAACAAGAATAAAGGTATTTGTGAGTAAAGCCCAGTACTGGTGCGTGCAGGCCTATCACTCCGCTAGGCCCTGGCTCCATCGTGGGGATGGGGATAAACACCACGTAGAAGACTCTATAGTCGCTTTGTCAAAGAAGAGTGTATTTGAGGGACATGTGACCAAACCGGAGAGGATGTTGTAAGATATTTTGTTTGTGTTCTGACAGATAAAACTTGCCTGGAGATCAGAGGATGGAGCTAGCCACTAGTTAACCATAGAAGCCAGGCAGTGGGACACACCTTTAATCCCAGCACTTGGGAGGAGAAGCAGGAAGATCAGGAGTTCAAGGTCACTTTGGGATTGAACCAGTCTAAAATAGAAACACAGCGAGAGGTGGTGGTGCCCACCTTTAATCCCAGCATTAGGGAGGCGGAGACAGGAATGTAAAGCAGGTGGAAACAGGATCTCAACTCCCCCTTTTGGTCAGAGGATTCGTAGGATGTCTCTGTTTCTCTGATCTTTCAACACTACCCTTTATATCTGAGTTTTTATTGTTAAAGACTAATTCGGATCACACTTCAAGAGAGCTAGTACTATTCACCATTAGAGAAAGAAATTCACATTAAGTTTCACTCTTTTTATTGATTATTTAAGTTAGTATACAAAGTAGTAAGTTTTATTATGGCATATTCAGACACATATTTTGTCCTAATTCATCGACCTTCCCAAGCAGCCTCCTCCATGCTCTGCCCTCTGGCAACTTCCTCCCTTCCTGAAGACAGTTCCTCCTTCTATTTAGAATCCAGCGTTCACTGTGTGCCTCTGGAGTGACTGAAATTAAGAAGAGTTCAGTACCTAGTGCTTTCAAGAATGGGACTCAACAATGACTCTGGCAGATTGTTGGTGAGTCCAGTATGGTCACCATTTTTTTTTTGGAGTAGGAATTGAACCCAGGGCCTTTAGAATTCTGGTTTGCATTCTGGGAACCAGTTTGATTCTCTCTGGAAGCCAAAGTTCCACTTATTTGTCTGGCCCTTCAATCTCATTGCTAGGTGAAATGAAAAAATAAAAATGTTTACACACAAAACATTTTATGTAGATGTAATTATAACAGCCCCAAGTTACACAGATGTAAGGAACGGGACAGAGATGGCTCGGCAATAAGAGCACTTCTTTTTCCGAGGACCTGAACTCAGTTCCTAGCAAGAGAGGAGGGCGCAGACTCACAGCCACCTGTAACACCCCCTCCAGAGGATCCAACGCCCCCTTCTGGCCTCTGTAGGCACCTGCAGACCACACACACACA